GAGGAGTAGAAAGAAATGCTACTTAAAGGAAATTAAGTTTTGCTCTTGATGAATTGAGAATTACCATACATCAATTCATGGCAGAATTAACTGAAATATCATAATTACTATGGATCAGAATTTAAATTCATGCCAGAATTTAGAATAACCTATGGTAACTAATGTATTACAACTAGATGTCTTTTAAAAGTTGTGGGAAAATGCTTCAGCTAATCTTAAAATGTAAGAAACAGGTTGTAGAGAAATAATGTGTCCTTTGGTTACTTTTTAATAAAAAAAAACTTCACCTCAATATTTTTTAATTTCTAAACTTCAGCAGTAGTTATTTCATTTAGAAGATGACTTTTTGCATGGATTCTTGTAGATATTTAATTAAGAGGCTGCTACAAGGATAGGAGAGCATAACGCAGGTGGGGTAATGGACAGTGTTAAATGTTGTCATTGGTGATGCAGCTTTCACAGGCAAGGAGATGCTGGTCAACGAAGCCTAACAAATTTTGACCATGTGGTGGTAGCAGAAATGGAGTTCCCTGACACAGAAGAGGAGGAACATGGTGTGAGAGACTTGCATTGCTGGAACACATCCCTGGAATTATATTTCTTCTTAAGTAAGTAATTTTTAAGGATGCAGTTCATACAGCTATTTTTCTTCCCTTTTTTAGCACAAAAAAGCTTCATTCTACCCCAGTGGTCTTATCCTGGAAGGAATATCCCCTACTGGTCAAATTTCTCTAAATTTTAAATGCCCAGGTTGGAATCTCTACATATTTTTTTTATAAGAACCATTAAAAAATGGTGCATAGAAAATTATAAATAATGCACACAAAGCTGGTGTCCTGCTGCCAGGTAACTCATCATGCTGTCTCAGTCTGTGGAGCCACACAGTTTTGAAAGAGGTAAAAACTCAGGGGAAATCTGAATTGGAAAAGATAAATAATTTTTTAAAAAGGGAAAAACCTGTTTGTTTTGTAAAAACTTTTCAAAATCTCTGGTCATGTATTGGGCAAATTGAGCAACTTTCTACAAGACAGAGGGAAGGGAACCAATTTTTACTTTTATACTTGAAAGATTCTGTGCCTGTAGATTAAAATGTGATTGATTTCTTTAATATTTCATTTGCCAGGATATTTGACAGACATGCCCAGATTCACCTGTCTCCTTGAACGTCTTATTGCATGAGCACTTATCAGCAATTGCCCTCAGTAAAATGTATTAGGTATGCCTGTTAATATTCTGACAGTTAATAAGTTCTCAGTTGATTCAGGGACTAGAAGTGTTTGTTCGTGTTTGAAGATTAATAATAGTTTAAGTCTGTCATCTAAAAAAAAAAAAAAAGGAATCCTGCTCTCCCCAGTTTATTCCAACCTGCAAACATAATTCACTCTTTGGTGTGTGATAGTTTTGAAGTTTTACTTTAAAGCGTGATTGCAAAGTGTTTAGATGAGTGACTCCAGGCTTTGGAAAGTGCTGCCAAGGTTTAATAACTGAATCAATTTAACCTAAATTTGGCAACTGGTTGTGATTCAGATTGTAGCTGCACACGCTGCTGCAGTGCAGCGTTTGGAGAGGCAAGAGCTCTGCGTGTTGGGCACTGTTCCATCCTGTGTGTGATTCCTGGGGTGGTTTACACTCACATGTTTGCCTGTGGCACAAGGCTGGAGGTCTGTGACACGGTTGTAATTCATTATTGCTTGTTAAAGGAGACTCATGACCTGTGAACATCAGTATTAAGGGCTACCTGGAAAATTAGGGGTAATTAATCTTGAGCAAGAGGAGCTTGCCTCTATTCCGGGAGTTGTTATGTAAAGAAAAGCTATTGCTAGATTTTTATTTATCTCTTGACGAAAAATATAGGATTTTGTACAACTCTGTGTTTTCAGCAGAAGTTGTAGAGAAGAGAGCTGGAGAAGAGGGGTCTTTTAAAGTAGAGACAGTTTCTAACCTGTTAGCAGCAGATCTATAGGAGTTTAGGCCTTTCTACTGCTGACAGTTGTTTGTACCAAACAGCTTCTATCATCCTACTTATGTCAGGGAATATCAGTATAGAGCTTTCAAAAGTTTTACCTGCCTATGTATGTATTTAATTCGTCTTTCGACTTCATATAGGCACTCTGTAAATATACAGATAAATAGAAAAGAAGTAACAGCTTGACCAGACCCAACATCTGTGTCCATGACTTGCTTGCCACAGAGGATCAGCACTGTCTGAGCTGAGGTGGAGATCTCCTCCCTGTTTAAAGGTGGCTTCATGCTCTACACTCCACAAGTCTTTCCAGGACTGCACTGAACCTGGTAGGTACAAATTTGTCTCTTAGTTTTTGTTGGTGCTCTCTTCTTTATTTACTTCTAGGGGAATAAAATACAGGTCTGATGGTATCCAAAATTGTTATGTCACATTGTGCGTGATGCAGCTTTTGGAATTAAATTTACCACCAATAAACTTTCAAATAGATTGGATTCTTCAGGTGAGCTTCAGTTCTGAAGGAATTATTTTGGGTGTATACTTAGCAAAAGCAGTCACTGAACTTAAACTGTGGGAGAAAAAGGCTATGAGTGAGGCTCCTGAATTGTGCTGCAATACAAATGATAACAGTGGCCTTTTGTGACTCATAACAAAATGAGTTATGACTTCAGGAACTGAATAAGAGCTGTGGCTCAATCCCAGAGGGTTAAGTTTTCCCATTGCTGCATATCCTCACATCAAGCCATCTTTAATCTTTTGGTAGAACCTGACAGAAGAGTAAATTGTGCAATTCCATCGTTTCAGAATGAAAGGTGCTTAATGATATCTGGACCCGTGATCTCTGGGATGGAATTAAAAATAGGTTAATTATTAATTTATGTGCATTTTTTCTCCTTGAGAAGTGACAAAAAAAAGCCCTCTTTAAGTAGATTGAATTGTTTCCTTTTGGTCGTACAGCCAGTGTTAAATGAAGGTAATAATTTGACCAACTGTTTTTCACTTCCTAATGGAAAGTAAATGTGGATTGCTTTTGACTTAAATAAGGACAGTGTAGCATTCAAATACTTACTTAGCTTCTTTGATTTGTTTTTTTTTCATGCAAGATTGAATAAATATTACATTTATTTTTATATTTGACATAGAATTTTATATTTGACTTTTTTATTTGCAACTTTACAACTATATTTTGCAGCTTTATTTTTCTACTCACAGTCTAAAAGAGAATCAAACATAATGTAGATTTCAAACAGGTAAAGCAGACCTGCTTACAGCTTTCTATTGAGAGGTTATAGAAGTCTATCAAAGCACAAACTTTGCATCCTTTTACAAACATTTCATTTTCTTCTCTCCCTGTAAGCGAAGCAAGCAAAACAAAATAAAAAGCAGTCATCAAAGTGAAATGTATGGTAATATGAGTCATAACTGTCAGACAAGCAGTTCTTTCCTCTTGATGATTGAAATAATTGACTTTCCTAAAATGAACATTCATAGATAAGTGGTGGTTACAACTGGCTGTTCAGTTCAATTAAGATCCAGGACACCAAGAAATAAAGTGATCTGGGTTTCATAGGTGTTCATCCCTCCCTCACCTCATCATTAGCACAAGATATCAGAGAACCAGGGCAATACCTAACACATGTTTTTTTAATCTAAGGTTTGTGTTCTGAAATTTTGAGCAGCTCCTTTCTCCAATCAATATAGTGAGCTCAGACCAAAACTGAAACCCCTGCCTGTTACCTGTTGCAGATCTATCTAATATGTGACTTTTATATGCTTTGATTCCTTTCTCGGAGCCAGGTTTCACCTGTGATGATGTTTATCTCCTATTTAATTGAAAAATATGTTGAGGGCAGGAAAATGTAGCCTCGAGTTAACAGTCATTTCCTGAGGTCACCACTGTGTCCCAGTGGGAAGAGGTGCGTCCTCCAGAGCCCAGGGCTGTTTGGGTTGGAGTTTTGGCACCCAGAGTTATCTAAGACGAACAGATCAAAGGGTAGAAACTGAGCAGAGAGGTTCTGCTGTTGGGCAACTGATGGATAGCTTCGTTCTCCTAGAAAAAAGCAGCCCTTCAGAGAGCACGGCAGGGAAGTCATTCCAGTGCAGTGTGAAAATCCGACAGCATTCCGGAATGAATGGCCCTTTTACAGTCGGGGGATCTAAAATAAAACCTACAGCTGTGCAGCCAGGAACTCCACTGTATAGCAGCAAGAAACACAGGACAATCCAGGGCACTGTTCCACACCAGGCTCAATCCTGTCTGACTGTGGACACTCACACGTGTCTCCTCCAAAAAATTACTTTCCCATCGGATCGGTGAGTCATATTCCAGCAACACACTGAATGACTAAATCTAATATGAGGAAAGAGTGAGGAACACGTCAGTACAGTTAAGAGGGGAAAGGAGACACAATTAAACCATCACTTTTGGCACCAAACTGTGAGTCTGATGAAATTAAGCACAACATGAAATAGAGCCTCCAGAGAGCTTGGGTGAACTGGAGATATTTTTGGAAAAAAATAATTTGAAGCCTCTTGCTATGAGGAGTAAGCAGTACAGTGTGGTCTTGAGGCATTTTTAGCAAAAGGAGAAACATTTTGTGATTTTTCTGGTGAAGAATTAAGTCTCTGGAAAAATAAGAATTTGCATTATTTTTCCAGGGGGATTTTTACAAACACCTGACCTATTCAAGCAGTTTAGCTCTCATTTTCTATCAGTTTAAGCTGACCCTGGCATACATCTGCAGCAGCTGTTTCTGAATTTTGTCACACTGAGTTTACTAATAGTGAATGTTAACTCATTTCGATTGTAAATAGGCTGAAACACCAGCTCATACAGTATTTAACGTCCCGTCTGCAGTCCTTTTCTTCATCTTCCTTACTCATTGCTTTTTTCTGTAATTCTTCCTCTCTGAAAGACCTTGACTGTTTAATTTTTGTGCCATCTTTTTTTTTTTTTTTTTCTTTCATGGCACTGTGGGGTAGCAAGGTTCTTTATAACTCAGGCCTTTTTCCTGCAGAGGGACAGTGAGATCCATTCGAGGCTCCCATCCATCTGGTGTCGCATAGGCAGCAGCTGACACCGGGGCAGGTTTATAAGTAGAGCACTGAGAGCAATTAGCATTTGAATTAAAGCTACCTGTGGATAACAACAGGTGATTACCCTATTTAACAGCTGTTAAGTGGTGTTATTTGCCAGCCATAGACCACAGACTGAGTGAACTGTATGCATACAAATGGGAGTTACAGTGCACACAAACGAAGGACGTTAATTAAATAATATTTTTTAAATTGCAACTATGAAATCTATAGAGGTCAGTAACCGGTAGCAAAAGAAGCAAACGAAAGGCTTTTAAAAGTGTTTTAGAACACTGGAAAACAACTTCTTAAAGACGAAAACCCTCTGTTTGGGCAGTCAGTGTTTTGCTCTAGAAGCAGAAAAGCAAAACTTGCTATTGCACTGATTCAGCTTCTGGCAAAAAGAGAAAATAATGAGAAATGAAAGTACATAAGATTATTTTCTCCTTCTGTTTTATCTGCATTTCAAACAAGGCTTAATCAACCTCAGTGTTCTTTGGAAAGTACAGCACTCTTCCCTCTGTACATGCCTACTTGCCTCTGCGCATATATGGGAGAAGCTGCTCCACTAACTCACTCCCTTCTGTGCTGGGGGCGGATGGATGTCTTTTTTGAACATTTGTGTAGCATATGGTTGTGCAACATCCTCTTAAATCCACGTGGGGTCTGTACCACGGTCCTGCTTCGTGTATTGCTGCAGAATATCTGACTGAGTCTGGCTGCACCTCCTTAGTAGATATTCTCGTTGGCTCTAAAGTTCTTTTTGTGAACCCCTTCTCCAAGGACATGGCTTTTCAATGACCTTGTTTTAAGACCTCCCAAGGCACACGAAGAGAATCTGTCTACCAAGAAAGGCTGATTAAATTTCTGCTTTAAGTGTTTGCTTGCACTCTACAAACAGAATTATTTTATCGGTGATGATTGGTCTCAGGGCTACTCCAGAACTGACCGAGTTTTGTGTAAGTGCAACTGTCACAAATTACAAGACGAACTTAACTTCTTCCCTGTGGTGTAATTATCCACTCAGTTAAAAAGCTCTTGTGATTTGTGCATGTGTACATTGTCATTGTATTGGTATGAATAGAGATGTCCAATTCGTATATTTACCAATGTAGGCATTCAGTGCTCCCTTCCAGAGTGGTGGAATGCAGGATAAATAATACTACAGCTTAGGAGGGATCCCTGTTTTTTACTGAAGAAACCTGCCCAATTAAAGCATTTACTGTACTAGGCAACTGAACTGAAATTATATGCCTGTTAACCATCTGATGGTAGTCAGTTGTATGCTACATCCAGCTAGAAAATTATGATACTGACAACCTTATTTAACTGGAATTTGATGTGGGTCAGAAGAGAATCTGTCTGCTATTAAGAGGCTCCTAATGACTTTCAGAAGTTTAGGTTAAAGCACCACTCCCCTCAATCATAGTTACCCTGCAGAAAGCTTGGACTCTTTAAAAATAAGCCCTATATGGAATCAAAGCAGTTACTTGAATAATGTTCAATAAGGGTTGGCTATACAAACACCTTCAGGTAAGTCTTTTCCATAGGGTTATCCAGGGATCATTATCTCAGAGATGGTGGTGCTCATCCATTCTTCCCCCCACTGCAGGCCAGAAACAAACTCCATATTTGAGAGTAGGCTCTCTTTATACATAAAATATACATTGCTCATCTTTTTTATCTTTTTTTTGTATTCTTTTGATGTTAAGCAGCAAATGACGTATTTTTTATAAATTTCTTCCTGTCACAAGAATCTTGAAAAGTTGCAAGAATTTGCTGCCAACCAACCAATACTTCCCAAAGCCACCAAATCCTAAAATAGTGCCAAATATTGGCACTATTGGTGCAGGTCACAATTCAGAATGTCTTGAGATTTTCTATTCAGCAAGCTTTTAGCTTTATTTTACAGCTGCAGGATACTTACCTCTGTGTGCAGCATCCTTGCTATCAGCACTCGGGCATCTTGGCTTGTGTCAAGATTTAGTGTGATAAACACCACATAGTGTGATAAACACCTTTTCCATCTTATGTAGGGTGATGGGTATCTTGGATGAGCAGAAGGTCTCCTGGTGTAGGAAGAGCAGTGATATAATGGAAAGAGGTGGGTATTCAGCACAGACAGTCCAAGGGAGAATAAAGGAGAGTACAAGGTGTGTTGGGTCCACAC